GAAGGGGGCACATACATTATGACGTTTGTAAAGTGTTAACTAGGGAGGAAACCCTTAGAACTAGATTCGTCACAACATTCAACGACTGCCCAGCCACACCATCGGCCTAACCCCAAGAAATCACAAATATAATATACGAATTCAGGTGAGATTTATAATGGTAGGGAGTAGCTGAGATCCCCTATAAGTCTTAGCTGTATCCTAAAATATGTTATCGAGATCCTACTATTCTAAATTCTACAATTGTATAAATATTCCGTGACTTCATCAACCTTGATACTTGTCCATTGGAGACAATTCACTAGTCCTCACCTATTATGACGTTCTTAAAGTTACTATTCACCGTTAGGACTATGCAATAGCGAACCCTTCTTCCCTCTGTCATCTTTCCAGAAAATATTCATTTGGTTTCCTTGCGTAAAGATCTTACAATATAAACCATCATCCTGTGCCATGTGGTATCATCAGTTGGGTATACATTACATTGCTTATGTTTATTATATTATGCAACATATAATTTGAGTAAAAGTTGTCAGCTTTGTGGGCATATAGGGTTGGCCTAAGTTTTATAGACCAAGTGGTACCTGGATGTTGATGTGGTCAACATCACACCTGCCGCCTTTACTCCCCATGACTATAACTGGTGTCCGTTCAAGGCGAAGTCGACCTGGGTCTGTTGGGACTTGAACTAATGACTGTCCAATCCGCAGGCGAGAGTTTGTCCACTTAACTATGTCAAGTTTCATATGATCGTGCAATAATTTAGATATGTATAAAACAAAATATTATAACAGGGTGGAGAGATTTATTATTGATTTGCTAGTGGAGAAAGACAAAACATGAATCTTGCTCTTTCCCTTACTAATCTGAAAACACCGCAACACCTCCACCTGCCCCAGATGTGTCGACATAATGCTCAACACAGGGCTGAATGATGTATTCCTCAGGTTCCCGTATTCCTGTATTCCTGTTACCTCGTGGATCGTGAACCACCATTCCCGTTTGCTTGTTTACTTGTGGATTGTGGACCACCATTCCTGTTTACTCGTGGATCGTAAAACACCATTCCTGTTACCTCGTGAATCGTGAACCACCCAGTGTAGAAAGGAAAACCGAAATTCATGGATGAATGTCGCAGATATCCAAAGTCTATAATTGTTGCAACCAGAACCGTGGCCATTCCTCCAAAGAAAGCTACATTTCAGCACATCAAGACTTGCCTAAAGCTGAGTGACATTTTCTGTTCGTTGAGCATATTTTGTGGTGTAATGATGAACCAGTGATTGTTTCTTTTGTTTGTTAATTTAAAAATTGTTAAAATTCCTAACAATCTTTATCAATACAGTTGTTGTTTAGAAACTCCATTATCGATTTAATCCTATCAAATTTAACTTCTAAGGTAGACTAAAGAATGTTCATTGCAATTTATTTGAGTTAAATTTATAAAGTATTGACCTTTGGTTTTTTTCTGAATTTCTTTGAGAAATTTCCGGGCATTCACCCTATTGATTTAACTTTCTGTATTTTCCTTCCTTTATTTTCCAGAACTCAGGGACCGTTATAATTCCCCTAGACTTATTTAATTCGAGCCCTGTAAGTTATTTGGAAGGATATAGGGGATCTCCAGGCGACGATAAATTCCGCCAAAATAGTTTATTACACCGGCGAAGAAGAATACGAGGCACGTTTTTAAAGTAAGTTTATTAGCTAGCTGTGTGCTATTTTTTCACTGTCAAAATCTTGTTTGATGCTGCCTGTGATTTATAATGAGTGCAAAAATAAATACTCCCACCAGCTGTGAGGTTCATGCTGTGATCTGTTTTTGTTAGCAAAAAACAACAGTGCTGCAGAAATTCACAGGCAACTCATTGAGGTTTATGCGCCAGATGTTATAACTGATAGTACAGTTAGGAAATGGTGTTGAATGTTTAACAAAGGGCGAAAAAAATATCCATAATGAAGACTGTAGCGGTTGGCTGAGTGTGGTGACAGACGATCTGGTCAAAGAAGTAAATCGAAATTGTTGTTTCACCACTTCTATGCTGTCTGTTGCATTTTCAGAAGTTTCACGTTCACTGATTTACGACATTTGACAAGAAACCTTGGATAATACAAAACTGTGTACCATCCAAAACAAAAGGCGTGGGTTGCTGTCCTCTGGAATTGTGCTTTCGCGCGATAATGCTCGACGTCATGTCGCAGATGGAACTGTTCAATTGTTGCAAATGTTTCACAGAGAAATTGTTGACCACTCGCTCTAAAGCCCTGATCTGGCGCCAAGTGATTAACACCTTTTCATGCACCTAAAGAAGTGGCTGACATTCCAGCGTTAATGAATGGTTCAAGACACTGGCAGCAGACTGCTAATGACATTATAATTAAGAACCCGGTGCCTACGATACCAAAAATGTGTTGAAGTCGATCGTGACTATGTCGAGAAATAATGTAAATATGTTGTACACTTTTGGCTGCAATAAATCATTTTTATATAGGATGGATGATTTTTTTTTGGTATATACCTGGACTTACTTAAAAAACACGATTGTACATGCATTATTTTGAATATATAATTTTTTTTCTTTGTCACTCAGCAGATTATTATTTCTATTATTATCATTAAGCACATAAACAAAGCTTAGACGATGTGTAAGGAGTTCTCACACACACCCCCCCCCCCCCCCCAATCATTTTCTTTATATCAGCGCCCCTGCTATGTTGACAACAGATATTTTCTAGCCAAATAATTGGGCCTGGTATTCACACAGGATATCTGGAGATTTAAAACAGGATATCTGGAGATTTAAACTAAGGAGGAGGAACAAGAAGAGGAAGAAAGAAGAAGAGAGGAGTTCTAGGAGAAACAAACAAATCAAGCAATCTATTTAACATCATATCAACTGAATATTACTTCAATTATAGATTCAATGTGACTGACCCCTCGGGGAAATAAACAACAGTGATTATGAGGGAAGAAAACAAGCTAGTTAATATGGGGAAAACTGAATAAAGGCTGATAGCCTTCCAAGGTCCCACGAGCATGAATAGGCAAAACAAATGTAAAGAGTTCACCCCCTATGTGTTTTTTCATTGTTTATTCCTTCCTTCTTTTTTTTTCCTGCATATTCTTTCCCCCTTCCCTCTTTTATGTATGTACAACATTTATATATTTAGATAAAATGCTGGAATAGACAAATAAATAAAGGAAGGAAGCAAAGATACAGGAGTCTTTATCTCCCCTTCAAATCTGTACTTCCTGTCTTCATTCTTTTGCCTCTACCTTCCATTTTTTTTATTTCTTTCTCAGTTTCAGGGCAAGTAGGTGCCTTTCTTCTAGATAACTTTTACTGGCTAGGCTGAAAATTAGTGGATACCTTCTGACATGTTGGGCCATTAAATAAATCAAGTGATCAAGAATAATAACATACTCCCAGTGTGTGTTCCAGAGTCCCATCATGGGGGAAAACAAGAACATACCCATTGCCTTCCCAACAAGCATGTCATAAGAGTTGGAGTGCATCTGCCTAAGAGACAAGGAACCAACAATCTGTATTTAAATAAGTCAGGTTTGAAGAACAGACACGCACGCATCACTCAGGTTCTGGAACAATACTAAGGTTCAGAAGTGGACGAACAACTTTAAACTTTGGGCCGGAGTTTACAGCTGTTGAGCGTGACAAAAAAGAAAACTGAACATACTACAATATCTTTTTCAAGTCCTCCCCCACCCCCTCCAGATTTGCAACATGTAGGATTCATATCTGAAGGATTTCAGCTACAAACCTTGGAAACCCTGATCAACCCTTCAGTTAAACAGGACCGTTATACTAGGCACAGCAAAATGGTTATAAAGTCTCTTCTTTGCATTCACCGGCTCAGAAAGTTCTGGTTGTTCGTTCACCTCTAAACTCTAGTCCTGTTTAAGAAACTGAGTGCCGTGGTATATATGTTTCACAGGTCTGACTCATTTGCATGCAGACTGTTGGTTCCTTGCCTCTCAGGCAGATGCACTGACTTTGAAGGAAGCCCCCAATTAGTCGACTCTTATGACATGCTTGTTAAGGAGACAGTAGGTCTTTTCTTGCTTCCCCCACTAAGGGGCCCGGGAACCCACAAAGGGAACCCCTGTAAAATGATTATGCAGAATATCTGACTGCCCACCTGGACTTTTTTGCAATCCATCAGTGGGCCATGGCCCATCAAGGCTGAAACACTGCTTTACAGCATACATATTTCTCACATGGATGTGGAATACAAGGGAAAACCAACACAATACTGTCCATGACAAACACTAGATCAAGAACATATAAGTTCCTTACCTTGAGTATTAATAGCCTCAGAGGTCCACGTACTCATGTTGTCTATGATTATTTTTGTAAGTAGGTCCCGTAAATTTTTATGGAATCCATCTGTGAAGCAGTTTTAAACATTTTTACAGCTGAGCCTAAACACGCTGCCTGAAGACAGTATACCTGGCAATTTAAATTTATCTGTTTGCCCCCAGACATAAGGCTGGAGCCTGCTGACAATGACATGCCTAAAATCCTTGCTGACAACACTGTCATTTTAGACAATCCCAGTCAGTCTGTATTATGCCATGGTGAATCCTGACTTTCTTGTGTGAGTTCCAGGTCCTTTTTTTTTAATTTAGACATGTTGGGCCAAAAGAAGCAGGTATCACAGGCTAGCTGAAAACTACAAAATAAAATGCCAACCACACTTTTAAGGGTAACACTAAAGTAAGTAAGGGACCTTTTTCAATGCCTTTAGGTGTATAGGGCTAGACCTATATTTTATAGACCAATCAGCACTCCGTGAGTGATGTGGTCAACATCATGCTAGCCGCCTTTGCTTTCCAGGACTTTATCTAGAACCCATTGGCTATCCTCCGAATAACGGCCACATATTATGGCAGCCAAAAACACACCCTGACAGGGCCTCACTAGGTCATGTTTTGTAAACATTCAAAAACTTGAACTCAAAAACAATGAGAATGTAAAAAGGATAATGACAAAATCGACTACTTAGTGATAATTGAGGCCTTTGTATCTGAAAATAGTGGCACAAAAGTTGTAAACAGTGCCCAAAAATCTGCTCTTTGTGGCTGTCGCGCCATTGAAACTTGGCTAAATATGATCTGTGCCGCATTGGTAACGCAGTTTTCACAGCTGAGAGTATCTTCCAACAGTGAATAGGGGGCAAAACTAGATGGCTGGGACTCCCAGCCATCTAGTTTAGCCCCCCCCATCCGTGCCGACACGCGCGGCGCAGGTGAAATGCTCAGCGGTGAGTTTAATCGGAAGAGCACTATTGCTAACCTGCATCAAAGAGCGTGGTCTCCCCGCCATGTCGCTATTAACATGTGTATTGTTCTGTTTCTCGAAATTGTCAACAGACAGTAATCCTAGTTTTGCCGCAATGTGTTCGTCGGAGGAAGACCGCAATTTACATGTGATTGAGACCCTGTCAGGGTGTGTTTTTGGCTGCCATAATATGTGGCCGTTATTCAGAGGATAACCAACCCACTTAAAACTGGGCTGACATGGGAATTGATTATTTTTTTTTTAAACCTCTGGCTCCACCAAGACCTAAACACACAACCTTCCTGTGTGGGTTCCAGGTCCCCACTGTGGGGAAAACATCTGGCTCCACCAAGACCTAAACCCACAACCTTCCTGTGTGGATTCCAAGTCCCCACTGTGAGGAAAACAAAAACAGACCCACTGCCTCCTCACCAAGCATGTCCTAGAAGTCGACTAGTTTGGAGCTTCCTTTAAAGTTGGAGTTCATCTGCCTGAGCGGCAAGTAACAACCAACTGTACACAAATAAGCCTGTAAAGCGGAATGTACATGCAAAACTCAGGTCTTGGCACAAAGTCCAAACAGACAAACAACCAGGACTTTCTGCCAGAGATTACAGCTGGTGAAAAAAGGAAGAAGAAGAACCCAAGATCTTTGGATCCGCAGGTGACCATCTAGCCACCGCAACATGGCAGTTGCACCCTTTGAAAGGGGAAAGCAGAAAAATAATCATAACTTGGTTATATCCTACCGCAATACGCCTGCCTGCCTACATATGCACATTTTATGCTTCTTCTACTTCTGTGTTCATTCTTAAAAGGTGTAGCAGCCCACTGTGTTGTGGCTATGATATCTATACCTTCCATTTTTAGGAAATTCTCCAATTAGCTTTTTAGCAAATTCTCCAATTTACGTATTACAACATGCTTGTTGGGGTGGGGGGGGGGGGGGGGGTATTTTTTTAACCTTTAAATGTGGCGCCTAACTCAACAGAGAACTTCCTATACAGGTCTTGCATTCATTGCTGGTTTCTGTGTTTTGAGAGAGGAAGAACAACCCTGCAATGCAGTCAGTCATAGTAGAAATAACACATTGTTACTGGCAGAGAACATGGTGTCTGCAGCACATTACTTTAATAAGGTGATAAGTGTCACACTGGTATGCCAATTTACTGAACTGGAAGTGTTAAAACTCAATCTCATAGAGGATTCACCACTGACCTACCAAGTAGTTAAATCGATAAATCAACCACCAAACCAATCAACTAACTAATCAATCATTTAATCAATCAACTAACTGTTCAAACCAACTAATCCCTTAACTAACCAATAAATCAACTGATCCATCAATTAACTTTACACACTAACCAATCAATTAACTAATATAGTATCTAATAAATAAACTAACTAATTTATTAACTAACCAATCAGCCAACCAATGAATCAACCAACTATTCTATCAACTAACCAATAAACCAACTATTCTATTAACTAACCAATCAAATAATCTCATCCAAAGAACCAACTATTCTATCAACTAACCAATCAAATAATCTATCAACTAATCAAACAACTAACTACTCTATCAACAAACCAATCAACTAATTAATCTACCAACCAACCAATAAATAAAGTAATTATCAATTAACCAAATAACTAACTAATCAACCAACCAATCAAATAATCTAATCTATGAACTAATAAATTAGCCACTGACCAACTAGTCAACTAACTAATCTATAAAGAAACAAATCAAGCAGTCTATCTATCATTTATCTATTCTCTCAACTAATCAATCCACTAACTGATCTATCAACCAAACAATCAACTAACTATTCTATCAATTAACCAATCAACCAACCAACCAACAATATACTAATCCATCAACTATTCACTAAACCAACCAATCAACTAATTAATTTAATAACTAAGCAAGCAAGCAATTAACTAACTAATCTATCAACTAACCAATCCACTAACCAATCAACGACTTATTCTATCAACCAAACAACCAATCTAGCCAGCAATGTGTACTGGCAGTGTTCAGTGACTTACTTGGAAACAGACTAAATAAGGCTTGTGGATCTGCGGATCCCTGGAACACAGCAACGTGTATCAAATCACTCAGAATGTGAATAACCTGCAATCACAAGAAGGTCAAACAATTTACTCATTGGTTTCTTTTGCAAAGAATCTATTTTATTACATCTACATGCCTTTGTGTGGCATGGTGATTTCAGTCACAGGCATGAGAGAAAGTCAAGGCCGTTAAGATGCCTATCAGGGAAAACAATCTACACCTCACATAGGGCACCAACAGGCTTTGGGCTGGTTTTTAAGACTCCTCCCGACCATCCATTTTGTGCACTATGGATAAAGGGTCAACTCTGTCACCTGAACTGAGCTAGCAGAGGACCTCGGAAAAGGTACCAATGTGACTGTTGCTACCAAAAGGTACCAATGTGAATGTTGCTACCAAAAGGCACTTATGTGAATGCTGCTACAAAAATGTACCAATGTGAATGCTGCCACCAAAAGGCACCTATGTGAATGCTGCTACCAAAAGGCACCTATAAGAATGCTGCTACCAAAAGTTACCAATGTGAATGTTGCTACAAAAATGTACCAATGTGAATGCTGCTACCAAAAAGTACCAATAAGAATGTACCAAAAGGTACCAATAAGAATGTTGCTACCAAAAAGTACCAATGTGAATGCTGCTACCAAAAGGTACCAATAATAATGTTGCTACCAAAAGGTACCAATAAGAATGTTGCTACCAAAAGGTACCAATGTGAATGTTGCTACTAAAAGGTACCAATGTGAATGCTTCTATGGTTGTGCGTGTGTGCATGCGTGTGTGTTTACTTTACTCACTGAGTACCAAGCAACCCATCATGTGTTTTTTGGTCTCTAACTCCATCTCTGCTTGCCAGCTGAAGATGGGAACTGAGTGCTTATGGCAATATCCAGAGCGCTGTGATGTAAATTCTTCATTCAACTACGTCAAATACTTTTGTTAACCCTTTGTTTCTTCTCCTCTTGTTACATTAACCCACTCCTGTTCCTAACTGGGTGTTGCGTGTCTATCAAGTTTCACAGATTATTTCAATTTATGCAGACTGCAATATTCCTTGCCTCTCAGCAATGTTTCTTAGACTTCAAAGGAAGCGCCCCAATTAGTCTGACTGAACGACATGCTTTCTGGGGAGGCATGTGGGTCTATTCTTTGGAAGAAATACAATAGGGCCCCGGAGAACCCACACGGGGGCAAAAGGTACCAATTGAATGTTGCTACCAGTGTACCTTTGTGCTTGTTGCTACCTTAAACCAGATGCACTTCAAAAGGTACAAGAATGTTTGCTAGCCAATAGGTTTCTTTAATGTGAATGCCTTCTATGATTGTGTGTGCATATGCCGTGTGTTTCAGGATTACTCACTGAGTAACCTACCCCAGCATTTTTTGGCTGTTGTGGTCTTTGTATAACGACATCTGTGAAAAGAAATGGATTAAATGATGTGGAAAATGTGCTTATGGGCAATGTCCTGTCGCTGTGAAATTCTTCATTCAACTGGCTCCTATCACTTTTGTCAACCCTTTGTTTCTTCTCCTCTTGTTACATGAACCCACTCTATGCTAACTGTTGCTTTTTATCACTTTTCTCATGACATTATTATTTCAACTAATTCAGGTTCATATATTTATTAATTTAAAGTAACAGTTTCTTAACACAGCAAAGGTTACAGCTGCGCCAATTAAGACTGAAAAAGTTACAAATAAATTGTAAGGCATTGTCATTAGTGTATTAAACAACATCATGATTCTCAAGACTTTTCTTGCCTTCCATCCCCCAATGCATAGGCCCTCAACCAAATCATGTCAAATTATTCTATCCTTCCCTATTTACTGTTTGCAACTGACCCCATGTCCTCCCCATCTTTTTTACTTCTCTTTCAACCCCTTTCTCTGTGTGTTTTTGGTCTGCCTTAATTCTATTATCCTTTTTTACATCATACAAAGTTCTAACATTCCAGGGGCCAATTGTTGAGATATTCCAAGTTGAACAGAGGTACGACAATGATTCAGAATCCTTTTGGCTTTCTCTGCACTGTGTCATCATTCATGTATTAGAACAACTCATGATCCTGGTCTGAAGACTTCCTGAATATAAAAGCTTGCTGACACAGATCAATCATCTGTTGCTTGGAGGAAAGCTGAGGAAGATGAGAAAACTTGTCTCATTTAGAGTAATGTTAAACTTGAGGCAAATATTTAAAAGCAATCAGTAAATCTTTTCGCTCTTCTCTGCTTCATTTTCTTCTTCGTTGGCCCTCAAAAGGTTAGCACCTTATGCTGTGGTTTACAGCAAAGATGCAATATCTGCACCTTTCATCTTCAGCAAACTCATAATTATTCGCCTTTTATGACAGGGTCATTACGTTGCCAGCGGGTCTATTCTTTTTTAACTCTATCTAAAAATGGGGCCCTCGTCTGGTTTATTTGTACGCAGACTCTTGACTCCTCACCTCTCAGGCAAAGACACTCCAACTTCAAGGGATACATCCCTATTTAGTCTGCTCTTACAAAATGCTTGTTGGAGGAAGGGGCAGTGGCTCTATATCTCTCACAATGGGGCCCCAGAACCCCCACCAGGGGAAGTAGTTACTGACTATAACACTGAAAAATCTAGAATACTATTAACTATTACTACTACTGCTGATGCTACTCTTACTGATGCTGCTGCTACATACTACCATTACTCACTAATGACAATTCTACTCTTATTGCTGACACTGATGCTGATACTATTGTTGTTGGTGATGCTGCTGCTAAATACTAGCATTACTCACTAATGACAATGCTACTCTTATTGCTGACACAGATGCTGCTACTATTGTTGTTGGTGATGCTGCAGCTACATACTACCATTACTCACTAATGACAATGCTTCTCTTATTGCTGACACTGATGCTGCTACTATTGTTGTTGGTGATGCTGCTGATGTTCCTCCTATACAACAACACACAGGGATGAGAAGTAACTAAAATCTCTACATTTAGGTGATCTTCACTCTGACTGAGAGCTAAAATCCTTTTTTTTTTTTTAAAATTTTATTTGTAGTTAGTATCTTTTTTACACACAAAGCTGTTCAACTCTCAGGGTTATAACTGGGATATAATGTGTTCATCGAGTTCTCAGAGCATATATTTGTTATTTTATATATTGTGTAATCATTTTCTTAAGCCAATTGTGTAGTCTGCATTTGATTTCAATTTCAAATATTGCTTTTTACTCAATTTGCATTTGTGAGGCTCAAATCAACTAAAAAAACACTATGCTGCATAGTTAAAACTAAATTTTTCTAACGGATTCCTAATCAACACACGACTACTGCTGGGCTAACACGCGACCAATAATGAAACAATGAAGGGTGAACTACAGCCAAACGAGTCAAATGGTACCATGTCTAACCAAAACAGGTAAATGAATAGTACAAATTTTCAGAAACAAAATGAAACAACAATTAAATAATCACCTTCAAAAGAACTTCCAATCGCGTATAGTCCACCTTCATCTTGCTTAAGAACAGTTTTTCATTAATACTTCTAATGGCCGTTTCAGGCAACAACAACAGCTAAATTCCTCTCAAGATGAATAATCGAATTTAATAAAAAACAGTATTTTCCGGAGTCAACTGTGGGCGTTATCCCGACTTCTGGTAGTTTCAACCCAACACTGGACACAGTCAGGCGGACATTGTCAGGTGTTTGCTGTTTCCGGTGTAAAGCCTATACTGCTGCCAGATTGTCTCATTCGAATTGGACCCTTTGCCCGTGTGGGTTCTGGACCCTCATTTTTTTTTTTTAATGGGGGAAAGAATAGACCCACTGTCCCCTAACAGGCATCTAGTAGAGGCGACGGTACATTTCTTTTAGTTCACCCCATCTATGAGATTTCGTGGTAAGTTCCCAGAAGAGTCAAATATTATAAGGGTATGGTGGGGGGGGGGGGTTGTTAGGGATGGGATTAGAGTTATTCGGTGTTTATTTCACACCCCGACACCCCCTATACTATTGGACTTTCCTATGAACTCCCTACGAAATCTTGAAGTCTCCGAGATTTGATGAATTAAAAGAACAAAACCGAGGCTACTAATTAAGGGTTTGCTAAAATCGGGTTTTTTTTGGGGTCGCGTGGCGCAGATTTCGCATCCTAGCTGTAAACAACAAAACAAAATACCGTCAATCCTTTACAGGGCGAAAGCTGAAGAATAAGAATGGAGTCCTAAATGGCGCAGCTATGCACATTATCATACTCTCCAGCTTTTTCTTCTTCTTCTTCTTCTTATTATTATTATTATTATTATTATTATTATTATTATTATTATTATTATTATTATTCTGAGTTTGCTCGTAAAAGGATAGTTGACATGCTGTGTTGTGCAATACAAGTAGGCTGTGAAATCTTAGCCTATCCTCCCAATATATGCTATTTCAGCACATCCATAATTACTCGTCTTTTACAGCGTGCTTTTAGAGGCAGCAGTAGTTACCCCGCCCTCCATCCCCTTTCCTCCCAACGGGGCTTCAGAGTCCACACGGGGAACAAAACTTAAGGTATCTTGCTCACGCCTACCTCATCCCAACCCTATCATTGCCGCTGCAATGATCAAGAAAAGTCGGCTATAAATTGTAAAATTATTTTAAAAGGCAGTTAGATACTTGAAAGTTAAAATTTAATTTATCTTCCCTCGCCACTGTCGAAAATAATTTATTTCTTTTTTTTAGAACCGCTGCGTTAAGGCATCGTTAGCCCGACCCAGTGACGTCGGCAGCACATCCCGTCAGCTGGAGCCGATTGTGCCCCAGCTGTACACTCTCTCAGACTACTATTCGCCTACGCCGATGTCTGAATCATCATATATGTATTGTTGTCTGCCTCTTGCTTGCTCGCCTTCCATCATCAGAAGGGAGCAAACATGGGGTGAACCGATTGCAGTGAAGTTAAAACCTCGACTAAGACAAAGACGAAGACTAAAACACAAAATGAGTAGTTTTAGCGACGATCTCGTGAATGTCCGTTTGTTGGGGTGGGGGGGGGGCATTCGTAAACTGAATGGACAACCTACGGGGCATGAGAAAAACGTTTTAGCTTTATGGCAAAGGAGAATCCTACCCCCTCCCCCCCCCCCCCCCAACCATTCCGGGAAAAAAGGAGGGTTACCATTGTCTGTTAGGCTTGCTTTAAAATGTGAATAATTGCTTAAATCTGATGTGTTGTGCTAAAAGGTGAAATTATCACAGCTTGGCTGTAAACCACAATGCATCGTGCCAGTAGTTATTAAATGGATAAGCGCAGAAAGTGTAACAATTTAAAGACGCTGTAAAAACAACTTCGTGTAACAAAAGTAAACAGTAATTAGTAAATAACTCACGAATCGTGAGATGGCAATTTCAGCTATTGCTAATTTTGAATGGTGGAGAGAACACACTGATGGATTGGCCATTATCCTGAGAAATTAAACTGAAGGATCGATACTGGAAGAGAGACTAATCAACTGTAGGATCACAGCAACGATATGAGAGAGGGAAGCGAGAGAAGTCAGACAGTAGCATGTCCCTTGCAAAACCTTGCTCCCATAACAACCCTCCGGAAAACTGCTCTATCACAAGCAAGATGTCCCGCGTCCGATACACCCATTTGGAGATCATCCGCCACAATTTTCTGTGTTTTTATTGTCTTTATTAGCCAGCTTTCTTCAATATTCAGCTATCGAATTATGGGCAGATTTGTTCTTTTCTTTACGGGGGAAGGGCGGTCGGAAAGTTATTGCTAAACTCCAAGATTGCTGTCTGTGTGATACACCTCGTTGATCAGAATCAAACAAAAGCAAATTTCAGATAACTTGTTCAACCGTACAGTACAGTTATACTTGGTGTCCTTGTCCAGGCTGGTGAACATGGGGGTGCAACTTGAGAAAGGTGCTTCGTGCAGAGTGTCAAGCATCACTTCAGAGGTATCCTGTGGATATTTTCTCCATATATGCCGGTGTGTTGGGAAATGAGCAAGCAGATAGACTGGCTGGCTCTGCACCACTTGGTGATGAATTGATGTATGACAAGTTAGGTATATTGAGGGCCCTTTGGGAATGAATGAACAGTGCGGAGGCGCAGACAGATCTAATATTACGGTCTGAGGAGAATGGCGCTGCGATGAGTTACCAAGGTGTCTGGCTGACGCTCAACACTCAGGGAAAGGATGAGACGGATATACATTCAGACAGTTACTAGTACCACTGAAATTTTAACTCTTCACTTGCTGCTGAAGATGGGGACTGAGCACTTATGAGAGTGTCCTGAATGCTGTGATGTCGATTTTTTAAATTCAACATTCGGACATGTCATATACGATTGGATCTTTTATAATGGGAAAAGGGGGGGGGGGGGGGGGGGTCAAAAATTAGGTCACAAATGGGACTGGTGGTTTTTAAAGGCGTCTGTGGTCTTGCAGTGGATACCAGCCCACTGTGGTATTCAAGGAAATAAGAGAATAGATGGCAAAAGCTGGAAGTAATCTTCCACAACCTCATCCACCACACAGCTACAAGGAAACCAAAACAGCGCTGAAACAATCTTTCAAGCGGGAGTGGAGAAGGCAAAATGGAGATTACAGACCAGAGAGTGACAGCATAAACAAACTCAACAGGTAAGAACAAACATCAATTTTTAGACTTTGGACAGGACACTGTGGTCTTTGAGCACACCCGTACAGGATAGGCATAAAAGAATCTGCTTCATGTGACTGTGGAGCAGAAAGACAGACCCCTGAGCACATACTGCAGTACTGCCCTAACCTCTCCCAACAAAGACTGTGGATTTGGCCCAAGGGAGCCACATTACAAGAGAAGCTATGGGGGACCGGTGACGACCTTAAACGCAGAATCCTATTTGTGACCCAAACGGGACTCAATGTTTAGCATGACTGATGTCGAACGCAGAAGAATAAAGGCGTCATCAGGTGACAGCAACATCGAACTGTATGTCTCCGTTTTTTTTTTTTTTTTTAAACAGTCATTTGTGACTTACTTACTGACTTCCCCTCGTACGTATAGCAACACTTGGACCGACCATGTATACGAACTAAAAGTCATAGTCTGAAACAAACAAATGGAATATAATAATTGTCAGAGACCTACCTCACTGCCGTCAGGACAAGAAAGCTGGTTGTCAGATCCATGACAGAAAAATGTCTATTCCTAAACACAATCGACCAACACAGTGAGAGCATACACGACAATCTTTAATGCAGTTCACAATAATCAATGCGGCAGTTCACTTGGGCGAAAGTGGTTTGTGTTACCAACCCAGTCACCCACCTGCCCCTACAGTACCGTACCGGCCTTACGGCTGTGACCAGGGTCCGAACCAACAGTCTCCCTTAAAGCTCTTTCCGACGCTACGGCGCCTTACAACGGGGACCGCGGTGCTACTGCACGTCTTTGGCCAGAATGAGTACACAGACCATGTCACGTAACCAAATCAACACTTCAAGGACCGCCTCGCTAACGTCTAACTAAATACCTAAATAAATACTATTATAAAAACCCATAATAACCTACCTCTTGCTAACACAGACTAACACCTGAAACATTCTACCGTCACGCTAACCCCCAACACGAAGCTACCTGTCGCTAATATCTGTCAACAACGTAAAAAACATCTGTCAAAACAATACGTCTTGTCCCCAAGTCCTCTTCAACTCCCCAATCAACTCCCGCACCGCACAATATTGCACAAACCTCTTGGGCTTTGCTTTATCGCCTTTGTTCAGTCACAAGCTCACTATTTTTCATCATCATCATATGCAGTCATCCCATAGCCACATGGGACCCTGACAATAATCACATTTGAAGTACGTTTATTCAACTGAAAAAAAAAAAACAACCGCGCTTTGCAGACAGCATTATATTCAGTTAACAACTTGTTCGAACAGACCATGTGCTAATCACTCTAGTTAACAAAGATGAGAGTTCGCCTTTATTAAAAGCAACCTACTATAAAAAAAAAATCTCCGCACGAGGATGCACACTGAAATCTAGATTTAACACAATCTATCTACTAAACATACCTCGTCTGTGGATCGGAAGGTCGTGAGTTCAGGTCCTGACGGAGCCAGACATTTTTTAATGACCTTGGCTCCCAGCTCGACTCAGCCTTAATGGGTACCAGGTACAGTCCTAAAAAGTAAAGGCGGCAAGCGTGATATTGACCACATCACCCACCAAGTGTCTAGCCCTATATGCCTGAATGCGGGGAAAAGAATCCTTTACCAGTGTGTGAAACATGAAAACAACAAGATGTCGGATTTGTGGTAAAGCACAAAATGGCGCATCGTCTGAAGGTAAAACACCGCACGCTTAAATTATTTTTAGCTCCTATGATCCTTGTAGGTCGCAACCTGGCACGATTTCTGTTAAATAAACTGGGGTTTCCCAGTTCGGCGACTCTTAACTGTGTCCACTAAAAGACAACTTATTGTATATCTCTGTATGCGCATTCTTCTTTTGCAAATATG